CTTCAAATCATTTAACTTGTATGTCGTTACAGCGTTTCACATTAGTACTTTTTTTTTCTACCGATATATATTTTGGCTCTTATACATTTATTTTAATGATGTTTTTTCAGAAAAGATCTGACAGATAAACACAGCAAACTCTTAGAAGAGGTTCAAATTGAACATGAAAGATTGAAGTGGCATGCCAAAAGGCATTTTTTACAGTCTGCCAGGATGGAGTTTTTACAAAAAGAAGACACAAAACTGCTGGAACTTTTAGATGGCAATACTCCATCTGATGACTCCCCTGTACAACACTTACAAAACCATGATGAAAAAGATGTTATTCTTCCAACATGGGCACACCAGGCTTTGTTGGCTTCTTGCAAAGAAAATTATCAAAAACCAATTGATGATAATAAACAAACTCATCTTCAAAAAGATGAGTCTATTGATAGTCATACTTCACCATCGAGCAGTAGTAGTATGATTATAAATCACAAAAATGTGTTGTTAGAAGGAATGGATGTAGAAATAAAACCAAATTTGTGCCCCACAAATATAAGTTTGTCGCTACTGTCCGAAAAAGGGCTTCCTAATTGGGCAGTTCAAAATGATTCCAGTAATAGCAAGAACTTTGATAGTTCTGACAACAAATTCTCAAGATCCAATGTTGAGAGGCATCAGGAATTTGAGTGTGAGGACTCTGGTATAACATTTCATGAGAACAAAAGCAGACGAACTTGGCACCAACCTGTGACAACACTTGGCAGTCCTGATGTATATGAACCTTCTAAGCTGTACTGTGAAGCTACTCAGTCGTGGATGGGTCTGCGTGGAAAAAGTAAATACGGACATGTCTCAGACTCTCAAGCGCAAGACGTAATTTACCCAGATTTAGTTAAACCTAGCAAAAATTTAAATATTCTAGACATCAGAAGAGAAGTGTCTCTGGAAGATATTCAAGAGTCACTAGATGAAGGAGTCCAAAGTCAACAGGAAAGTCAGATATATTCGTGTAAAGACGAACTGGATAACAATAACACAGAAAATGAAACAGCAGGAAAGAATGTTTCTGAATCAACTGTTCAGGAAAGTAATGATGATGTTTGTGATAGTGGCTTAGGAAGAGAGTTTAGCCGTTCTTTTACAGATTCTACTAAGGAAATCAGTCCTAAGGAACAGTTGTCAGGTATCCTTTTCTAAATTTCTTTAATTCAGTTTCTGTAAAAGCTAAAGAGTAAAGTACTGAGTAAATTACTGTAGTAAAAATTCGACTTTTAACTCACCTGTATAAACATGTTTATCATGTAATGGAAGAAAATTAAACTTACTAGGAGCATTAATTAATTTTACAAAATATGATAAAAAAAAACCTTTTTTATAATAATTAAATTATTATGTCATTTTAGCCAAAGATGCCATAAAAATACAAGTTACTGCAGATTCAACTCTTCCATTTTCTGATGACCAAAAAGTTAAAACCCAATCACCAACTGTTCAACCATATAAAAAAGAGTATCCAGAACTAGGTGAGTACTGCAGCAAAACTTGAAAGGTCCAATTAAACCCCTTAAACTTTATTTGAGATCTTGATTCTACTTCAAGCTGCTTGAAACATATATCCATAAGATACTGTATATAACAGCTGTACTCAAATTATCCCTATCCAGACTGGTGAGTACCTTTTGGGTATCAAGCATACAACTCCATACTAAATTTCAAACTTTAAGTAAAAATGATAATTCTAACTATTTCAACAATTTTATTACTTAAAATTATTTTAGAATTGATATTCTCTCATTTTGTAAAATTTATTTGGTGTCATTCACAAAAAAAGAAAGAATAATGGAATTTATGTTATGAACATACAATAAACTTTCATCTTATAAAAATCTCACTTATTGGTTTTTTTCTTTCTTTTCCAGAACAAAAACCTAATTCACATACCCTGGAAAAAATAGCTATGCATGAACGTGTGGAAAACTTGCTGATGGATGGTGATAAAGATATCAACATGTGTCATTATGTCCCCTTGTGTGAACTGTTACAGAGGTCTATTTTACCTCCCCTTCAGGCACAGTATGTATTTTCTCAGTCATTTTGTGTTAACAATAACTTTTTTTTATATTGGGAAAATTGCGTTAGCTTTTTGTATTACTAAAGATTTATGTATGAGTTTGAATTGTCTTTGTTAGATATTGTGATTTGATACTAAAAATGTTATCACAACAAGTTGAATGTAGTTCTGATACTAATGTGCCATTTATTGATCTTTTTCTTGAAAACATGTCTATGTTTGAAAGTGCTTACAACTGTATGTTTTTGTTTAGAAATATATGTGTGGTTACAATTGTAAAATTTGTAATATAAAATTTTAGTCAACATATGAAAAATTCAGTAACAAAATCAGATAAAACAAAATTTACATAATTTATTGTTTTGTGTGAGATGATGTGGTCTGTATTAGATCATGCATTTACTGTTACAAGATTGTAGAAGTTAAAGGTTATTTTTTTTTTAGATTACTCAGTCAAACTCACTATTAAATGTTTATTTTTATTTTTGCTATACAGTAGGTATAAATATTACAACACACAACAAATTTTTGTTTTTCTTTTATCAGATTTATGAATTTTCTCTGTAACTTGAGAAAGAATCTGCTTGACTCCAACATGCATATTCAAACTTAACTACATACTTATTAAAGATGAAACTTTAATTGAAAATATCTGTCAATGAGCAAACTAAATGTATATGGAGTTTGACATTCAGGTTAAGATCAATGAGCTGTGGTCCAAATAAATATTGTTTTTAAATGAGGATTATGGCTATACTGAGATTTGCTGACTTGAAAAAGTGTATAAAAATTAATAATTTTATTTTATAGCAAAAACAAAATATTAAAAATCAGGTTTGGCAAAAGAATTAGCAAAAAATGTGTAAAATTTTATTTGTTTTCAGACATACAAGTTTTAATAT